GCACTTAGACTTTACAGCCCTGTCTAAGCAGCTTAGAGTCAGCATATTGCCCCCAACAATCTGGGTCCTCATTTTACCGACCACAGAAGGATGGAAGGCTGAGTTAACCTTGAGCCTGGTGAGATTTGAACTGCGTCAGCAGAAGTAGCCTGTAATACTGCACTCTAACCGCTGCACCATCGTGACTCATTTCTGTGTCAAGGCTCTGACTAATGTACCCAAGAAGTTGACATTGTGAGTATAACAATAAATAAAAAAAACCACGGGCCATTCATTTTAAATAATTGACTTATTTTTCCTGTCATTTTTATTCAAATACATTCAGGTGTCTTCAGAATTGTCATCTCTAGTTCTATGGATAAGCGGATCCCATGCAAAATGGCTGTTTTTGTACCGTTATTATATAATGGACTACATTCAAAGATATTGGTCTGCTGAGGGAACAATATAGGCCCCAAAGCAATGATTTTTTTTTTCTTCACACATATCCTGAATCTGTTCTGGAGGGTATATGCAAAGTAATACCTGTTATATTAACCTAATTGGTTCATGTAACTTTGTAAGTAATCCACAGATTTAGTTCATTCACACCATTTATGTCCTTTTATTATCAGCTTTACTTTAAATAGTTTACATAGCACTCTTCCTGCCCAACAAAATTGCCTGCTAAACAAAGGGTCCTAAAAGAATTGACCATATATCACTTAATCCCACCCTTATCACATACTCCAATCAGGATTGAATAAACCATTTTTAAAATGTTGTTTTGAATTATTTTCAGAACACATAAGTTTGGCAATACCTCCCCTGCCCCCCAGGAGATTCATGCAGCTTTTATCCTTATGACATTTAGGTTATTGATTTTCCTTTTTATATGTAAACTGGCCAGAGACATTAAGTCAAAATTGGACAACTGAGCACAATAATATGATAGTATGTTGCAGCTGCCAAAAAATAAAAGCAAAAGTCATCCTAGGCTGCATTAATCAAAGTATTGGGAAAGGTCAAGAGAGGTTAGGATTTCTCTCTGCTTTGTGCTCCATTTTGGAAAGCACACTGATAAATTTGAAATTATCCAAAGGACAGAGACTAAGGTGATAAGTAATCCGAAAGGAAAAATAGCTGGAGGCGTTGGCCTGGAAAAGACTCTGGGATGATGTGCTAGCTGTTTTCAAGAATCTGCAGGGCTACTGTGTAAAAGTCAGGGCAGACTTGGTAAATACCACTTCAGCTTGTAGATTTATGAATTGTGCAAGGATGAATTTCAAGTCTTACACTGCGTGAATTTAACAAGAGTACAGGTAGTCCTTGACTTACGACCACAATTGAGCTCAGTATTTATGTTGCTCAGTGAGAAATTTAAATGAGTTTTGCCCCAGTTTATGACTTTTCTTGCCACATTTGCTAAGTCATTGCAGTTGTTAAATTAATAACAGAGTTGTTAAGTGAATCTGGCTTCCCCATTGACTTTGCTTGTCAGAAAGTTGCAAAAGGTGATCACGTAACCCCGGGACACTGCAACCGGTATAAATAATAGGAGCCGGTGGTCAAGATATTCAAATTTTGATCACATAACCATGGGGATGCTGTAAACAGTCATCAGTGTGACAATCAGCTGTAAGTCACTTTTTTCAGTCCTGTTGTAACTTCAAATAGTCATAAATGAACTGCTGTGAGTTGAGAGCTACCTGTACCTCTTGTATAATTCTACATTGTCCATTTGTCTTTATTACAGCATCGACAACCAGGTTTCCCTGCCAACTCCTCTCTCTCACACACAGAATTTCGAGAGACGAGAAGACTGTAATCCAACACTGCACAATGCAATTTGTTCCAGGTAAATCAGCCAGCAAGTAAGTAAGTCAGGAAAGCAGCTGCCCGGGATCGAAGGAGAGGAAAGAAGTCTAAACCTGAATATGAGCATTTTTCTTTTAAGTGGAATAAACTATATAGTGAAAATGCAAATCTTCCCTGAGAAAATCCTCTCTGAGCGAATGGGACAACTTGCTACAGCCAACTCACCGCCGCCAACTCGCCATGGGCACCTTGGCGCAGGACAAGTCACTACAGCCAACTCATCGCGAGACAACTCAATTTATCAATTCTATTTAATTATTATTTAAAATAAATAAAAATTATTTTAATTTTCGCCATTCCCATTTCATTCCGTCCCTGCTTTTGCGTGCTTTCTTTAATGATTGTGTTCCACCACCTCTTTGGTATTAAGAGTAACTCTTGTCCTGCCGAGAGTTGTCCCTCCCCGACTATTCAGCCTCCCGCTTTGGGATCTGGAGAGCGCCACCTATTTGTTTCGGTTTACCCGGGACCCGGTAACCCTGGACAAACGACCTCCTCGCTTGCAAGGGAACGTACGCGGCATCGCACGGAGAAGCCCTAAACCAAACCCTGGAAGAGACTCCGACACCCCCCCGCCCCGCCCCGCCCCCCCCACCCCGCCGGACGGGAGCGCTGCTTTCTCACGTACCGACCGCCAGGCTCCCGCGCAGCCTCTCCGGGGCGCTTTGCAACTCCCCATGGAGGCTGCGAAAAATCTCGTGCAGCCGCTCCAGATGCTCCGAGGAGCCGACGCCGCGGTCCGCCATCCCGCGAAAGTCGGGAGCGAGCAGCTCTTTTTTCCCCCCCCACCCCACCCACCCACGATCCGACGCCGCAGAGGGGTAACTACCGCCTGGAAACCATCCTCCACAGACACTTCCGGGATAAGGGGCGGAGCTTAGACCCCATCCTCGTCTTCTTTTTCTTACAGAGCGCCCCGCCAGGGTGACTAAAGCAGTGCAGTCAATCGCAACAGCGCCCCCCTCGTTGCGGAGGAGAAACGGTCACCTCTCTGAAACTGGGGGCGGGTGGAGGAGGCAATGTTTATATTTGTTATTCCCACGAGGGTAGCAGCTGAACAGGACAAGGGTCTTCAAACTTGACAAGTTTAAGACTTGCGAACTCCCAGAATTCCTGAGCTAACGTGACTGGAGGAGGAATTCTGGGAGTTGAAGTCCACAAGTCTTAAAGCTGTCCAGTTTGAAAACCCCTGGAATAGGGGAACAGATTCCATATTGATGTCAGAAGAAACCTATCAGTAAAGAGACAAAGTTAGGCTGCCACCAAGAAGTGGGGGTTGGGGGTGTCAATTTATTTTCCAAAACACCAGAGAGCAGGACAAGAAACAATGGATGGAAACTAATTAAGGAGAGAATTAGTGAGAAACTTCCTAACAGTGAGGACAATTAACCAATGGAGCAGCTTGCCTTCAGACGTTGTCGGTGCTTCATCACTGGAGGTTTTTAAAGAGATGGGACAATCACTTGTTTGAAATGGTATAAGGTCTGCTTGAGCAGGGGGTGGACTAGGAGATCTCCAAGGTCCCTTCAAGCCCTATTCTGATTCTGGTTTATTGTCCGAATCTCCTCTGATCAATAGGAGGCAAAATTCTACGAAGAATATGGAAGTGATTTGCATCTGTTCTCCTATTCAGCTGCTACCCTCATCCAACCTTTTCACGGTTACTCATGGGTCACAGAGGTCAGCTGGAATGACACAATAAATCTATGCTCATTTATCTATGCTCATCTATGCTATACAGGTAATCTTCTATTTATGACCACAATTGAGCCCCAGATTTATGTTACTAAATGAAACATATGTTAAGTGAGTTTTGCCCCATTTTACAACTTTTCTTGCCATGGTTGTTAAGTGAATCATTGCATTTGTTAAGTTAGTAACATAATTGTTAAGTGGATCTGGATTCTCCATTGACTTATTGCAAAAGCTGATCACATGACTCCAAAACACTGCAACACTGCATATACAAAACTTTGGACCGAAGGTGGTGTAGTTCTAGGTTTTCTAGGTCTAGAATTTCAAGTCTGGTGGCATAAGGTATTCTACAACGAGTAGAGGAGTGGAGAACTCTTCTTGTGAAATATTTCTGGACTTTCTCAACTGTATTAATATCAGATACGTAATGTGGGTTCCAGACTGATGAGCTGTATTCAAGTAGTGGTCTAGCAAATGTTTTGTATGCTGTAGTTAGTAGTGTCATATTACAGCAGAAAAAGCTATGCAGGATTAATGCCTTTTTGGCTATGTAGTTACAGTGGGCTCTAGCACTTAGGTCATTTGAGATGAGTACTCCAAGATCCTTGACAGTTTGGATCATCAACAAGGTCTTGACTATTCAGCTTGTATTTTATTTTCTGTTGTTGTTTTTTTGCCAATTTGTAAGACAGAGCATTTATTTGTTGAGATTTGAAGTTGCCATTTGTTTGACCATTCTGATATGTAGTCGAGGTCTTTTTGAAGGGGAGCAGCATTGTCCGTATTACACCAGGAATTCATATTAAAAAGAGGTGGGGCTTTGGTTACTTATTCACAGCAGCCATCTTGACTTTTTTTTTTTTGACATTACTTGTCCCCTCCTCCCATGGATTTACTCCGGATTCTCTTGCAAACCAGTTCTCGTATCCCATCAACTGAAAGTAGCGTGTAGCGTGAGGGAAAACAAAACACACAGCTGGCCTAGAAAGTACTGTGCATACCATCCTTGTTATGACTTGGATGACACATAAAGATGCTGAATTTCACATTGCATGAAGCGAATAGCACTTACTCCCCCCACCCCGCCGCCCTTCTCCCCCCAAGAGAAAGGAAAAGGCTACATATCCTCGAAACCCGAAAGCTCCGGTCTTTTGCATCACACCTTCCACTCTGATCGGCTTGCGGACCTAACGGGCTCTTACAGCTCCAAACTTAAACCTTCTCACGCAACGCCAAGAGGTAAGGCAAGCCCGTTCCTGCCCAAACCGAAACCTGGGTGGCACATTATTACATTCAGATAATGAGATTCTTCCACGTTCTGTACTGGAAAGGGAGCGGGGAGGAGCATCCCATCCAGCCTCGCAACCTTGCAGCGGCTGATGCCATCTCACCGGAAATTCAGCCTCTTTAAAGCACGCAGCGCCTCCCTTCCGAGAGTCGCGCCTTTATCAGCCTGGGCTCTGTTTGGGAAGCCGCGCCTTCTTTTTCAACCGAGCGAGAAGAAGCAGCGAAGCGGCCAGATAAGGGGTGACGATGCTGGGATTCCTGTGGTCCGTGTTGTTGGCCTTGCTCTTGGTCCCTCTTTCAGTATTTGTGCTACTGCCGTATGTCAGGTTTGTAGTGGGATTGATTTGACTAAGTCTTGTGGCCTGGAAAACTGTGGCCCGTGCAACTTCAAAAAGAAAAAAAAACTACTGGCATTAAAAAAAAATATTTAAATCGCTTAACTATATAATACCGATGTCCTATATTAGCGCTCACTCGATTTCTGGTGAACTGGTTTTTTCCCTGTTTGTGCAGAATACCCCCCCCCCCCCCGTGTGTGTTTATGTGTTTTAAATGCATGAGAAGCTAACTATGACAAATTGAACTGCATTGCATTGTGAATACTTCAACAAGGGACTGAAATTTAAAACCTCAGCCATTCAATTGATTTTTTGTATTTTATAGGAAGTATTTTGGAGGAGGGGTGTGCAAGTCTGCAGCACAACTGAATGGGAAAGTTGTAGTCATCACGGGAGCCAACACTGGTATAGGGAAGGAAACGGCTGGAGACCTTGCAAGAAGAGGCAAGTTATTCATATTGGCTCTTATGCCTGGTAGCTTCCAGAGAGGTAGAAATTGTAATAAAAGGAATTGAAGATTGTCAGGAAGTGAACTGTGCCTTTCACAGCAGAATCAAAGTTCATCATCAGCAGAATGAAATACAGTTCTAGGTGATTCAGATTTAGAGAAAAAATTATCTCTTTTTAAATACATTGTAATATAAAGTGGCAGTAATCCTGCATAAGCTGCAAATTCTTATCCAACACAAGTCAACCTTCATGCTTACAATCAAGACTGATTCTTCCTGTCTCTAGCACTCTATGGTGCTTACACTGATTAAATAAGGCTGCAGCAGCTTATCAAGGTTTTGTTGACATGTACAGTGGAATTTCTCAAAATCTGCAGACTGTCCCATTCCAGCCTGTGTTACTGTACTTCTTGTTAGCATACAAGGAAATGCTCATGATAGACTCACTTTAACTCATGATAGAATTAAGCCACTTTTTTGTTCACTCAGTACTTTCTATCATAAACTGAAGCTCAGCTTGACAATATACTGAGACACAAACTGCAGCTAAGATTTGTAGCTGATTTGGGTAAACATATCACATTAACACAAGAAAGTTCTCCACTATAGTATCTCCTTTTTTGAAATAGACTTTTTTCCATTACTGTCCTGCTGCTGATTTTGACATCAAGTGAACTGCAGCAATTCAGTGCAGGTAGTTAGTTCTTGCTTAAGAACAGCTATTGAGACTTGGAATTTCTCTCTCTCAGCAACGCAGTTATAAAACATGACGTCATGGAACTGCATTGCTTAGTGGCAGCAGTTTGGGTAGTTCCAGTGGCACTGAATTCCACACTGTCATTAAACAAGGATGGATTGTGGTTGCCATTTGCGACCTCCTGCTGGTTTCCCCATTGATTTTACTTGTAGGATGCCACTAAAGAAGGTCACAAATGGTGACCATACAACCATGGGATGCTGCGATGGCTGGAGCTCCTTCAGCACCACTGTAAGTTTCAGTGATTGTTGAACAACCGAGGACCAGTTTACCATTTAGAATTGGTACTGTAACTTGAGCTAGCTAGATAAGTGCTGACCTCCAATCATGAAGATGGAGTAAATAAAAGTAGAGTGTGTTTTTGCTTTTCTTCTTAGCCTTTATTTTTTTGTGTTATAACTACACCGTGCTTCCCAACGAATGCATCAAAACCTCTATATTCAAATAGTGAACTTATTATGGGGGTGTGGATTGTACTTATCTGGAATTGTATTATCTGTACACCAAGAAGAAATCTTTGGTTAGAGATCTCAGCATTTCCACATCTGATACCAGGAGGCTGCTTGTAATATTTATATACGTATGTATGAAGCATATGGCATACGATGTCAGGGAAAGCTACGCATGCTAGACACAATGCAATCCTGACAGCCTAGATTGCTAGTTCATTCTGTTGGGCGCTTGTGTGCCTATTCTTGATGCACTGCAAGGGATGAACTAGCTTACACCAGATGATTAGCAGCGCTCTTCCAAGTTCCTATGCCGGTCTTGCCTCACTTTGCTTCGTGTTGCATTGTCTTGCATCTGCCCATGTCCAGTGCCGGCTTCCGCACTCTGCATACACAAAGGCAGCTAGGTTTTTCCAACAAAATGGTACCCATTTGTGTATTCACAATATTGCATACTTTCAAACTGTTGGATGTGGGCAGGAGCCAGGGAGCGAATGACGGGAGCTCACTCTTGTCTCATGGAGCCTCACTCTGTCTCAATGGCCAGAGCACAAACCATTTCTCGCCAGCCATAAATAAAAAGTGTGATTATGGTTATATTGGTAAGAAAAGTATTAATTATAATTGTAAGCACAAGATATATGTACCCAGTCGATACACGGTTGAAATGAAATGGAATTATTGTAAAATATAAAATAAAAAAATTAATTAAAAAAATTTCCATAAGCCTTGACAGGTTATTTAAACAAATTTAATAAGAATAAAGATACAAAAAGCAAAGTAGAAGACAATTACTAATAAAACATAAAATATTATTTAAAAATCTCTGGGTAACATGTCCCTCCCATATCTTCTATTTATTTTTCCAACTGAACCGTTACACAACCACACTTTGCCTGTTAAGTAATTAACAGTAACCATTTAAGTAATTTCATCTTTCGTTTTTCATTAGTATCTTATGGTTTAAATTCAGAGTTTATGTTTAAAACTTTGTGAATGTTTTAATATGTTTGTTCCAATAATTTTGTGATTTTATTTTTGATAACCATTATGTGCCATAAGATGTTTCTTTTGTTGTGGCATTTCTACTGTTATATGACTTATGTATCTTGGTAATCGTAAATGTATTTGGTTTTTCCCAATATCTTTCCCAATATTCTATTTGCATCTTGAAAGTTTGCATCAACTTTAGAATTCAATTTTTAATTTGTTCCATCTCTGTTATATAAGCATCCTAATTTCTCCAAATTCTGTCTTCTTTCTTGGGTTCCCTCCTTTTTTCTTGAGATTGCAGGTAGTGCTTGAGTTGGCAATGGTAATTGGAATTGGGGCTGCCATCGCTAAGCAATGTTACAACCACATCGCTTAGCACCAACAATCCCAGTATTCCAGTTGCAGTCATAATCTCAAGATACGTGGGTTATTAAGTAAGAAATGGTAAGGAAGTTGGGGGAAAGGGGGAGACCCGGGAAGGCTTGGCACGAGGGAGACCTGATGAGATTTTGGAAGACTTAAGTACAGGATGTCTATGGAGATTCTCAGTCACCCAGGTCATGATTGTCCCAAAGGTGCTTTTTCAAGAGGTAACTGGATCTTCTAGTTTTTCTTTGAAGACTTTTTGGGTCTCATCAGGAAGCTTCTTCAGATGAGTATAGGATGTGTGTGAGTTTAGGAAAAGCTTGGGAGACTGAGCACAGGTTACACAACAGTTGGGGAAGGTCAGAGAGGTTTTGGGAAGCCTAGTGCAGGTTGCTGTGACTTAAGGGAGGCTACATGCAGGTGAGTAGGATGCAGGAGGCGGAAGTGAATGAGTTGTGATCTTCCTGCCAGTTTCCCCATTGCAACCAGATTTTTTTATAATTAGTAATTTGCTTCATGGGGATTTTCTTAGGTAGCTTCCTCAATTATATAATTTAAGGTTAGGAAATGCAGACCTCTTTGTTTTGAGTCTTGCAAAATCTTAAATCTTGCTCTTATTTTTCCTACTTCATGTAAGTCTATTGATTGTTGTTTGCCAGTCTGGCGAGCATTTCTCTGAGATTATAATTTGGAATAGGAAATTCATCTTGAATGATTAAATGTTTGGAATTACAACATAGACTAGGTCTTCTAGTCCTGCTCCAGACAGGAGACCTTGTACCATTTTGGTCAAATGGTTGTCCAGTCTATTTTTGGAAATCTTCAGTGAAGGAACACCCACAATTCCGGAAATTAAGCTATTCCATTGATTAATTGTTCTCACAGTCAGAACATTTCTCCTTACTTCTAGGTTAGATCTTTCTTTAACAAGCTTCCATCCATTACTATTTGTCCTGCTCTGTAGTGCTTTGGAGAATAAATCAATCTCATTTTCTCTGTGATAGCCCTTCAACTACAGGAAGTTACCATGGCCCCCTAATCCTTCTCTTTATTAGGCTAGATCAGGGGTCAGGGAACTTTTTTACCTCTTACCCCCCAAAAAATTTATAAACGCAGACGTTACCCCTCCCAGCCTCTCCCCCTCCCCGGCCACCTCAGGCTGCTGACACATAATTTGGAGGTCGAGGCGGGAGGAGGTGCCCCCCCCCCCCGCGGCTGGGAAGAAGGCGGGATAGCTCGCTCCAGGGAATGAAATGTCACCAGGCTTCCCGAGGGCTTCTGGGAATTTTCTCGGGGCCAAGGCGGCCGTTGCAGGTGCCTCTTCGCTTCCTGTGTGCCTGGCAGTGATGAGAGGCTTCGGGGAGGGAGCCGGGCTGGCTGGCTAGTTGGCAGGCAGGCAGGGCCTGGGGGCGAGGAAGCGGGAAGGGAGGATGATATTTGGGAGCCACGGTGACACAAACTGCGCGCGAAAAGCGTGCGGTCATCGCAGCGCGGGGGAAAGCGTCCCTTTTCCCAAAATGCTCTGCCCTATGCCAGAAGCTCGCCTTCCCCTAAAAAACGGGCGGCGCGGCTCTTGCAGAATCTAGCCTGGAGTCATTTCCGACCCAGGAAACAAGGGTGGGGTGGAGGGGATAAATTTGCCTCAAGGGTGTTTTAATAACTGCTGCTATGCCGATAGTTCCGCCATTGGCCAGCGCAACCTCCTCATTACCCCCAGATTTTCACTTTTACCCCATTTGGGGTAATTTACCCCTGTTCCCTGACCACTGGGCTAGATATATCTTACTTCCTCAGTTGTTCATTATATAACTTACCTCCAGATCCTTTATCATTTTTGTTGCTCTTCTCTGCACACTTTCTAGGATCTCAACATTTTTTTTTGTATTATGGTGACTAGACTTTCTCATAGTATTCCAAGTATAGCCCTCAGGTGCAATATAAAGCAGCATTGGAGACAAATTCTTTGTGTGTCCAATCACACTTGGCCAATAAAGAATATCCTGTTCTGTTCTATTAATTCTACTCTACTTTATTCTCATGACCGTGATGTTATCCCTCTGTTGATACAGCCCAGAACTGCATTGGCTTTTTTGGCAGCTCCTAACCAAGATTTTTGGTAATTTTTTCCATTTAACCAATATTTTTTTCTTTCCACAAGTTATAACAACAGTTTTGAATTATATTTTGGTTTCAGCCTGCCAGGGAAAGTCCCAAGGTTTTTTAAAATAATTATTTCACCATCAGTCTCTCTTTTTTTTCATAAAGCCATATTCTTGAAGGGTTACATGTATTGTTATCTTTATTTTTTGCAATAAATTTGTTTCTGGAAAATTGGCCAAAATGATAATTTGACTAGTAACCCTCCATGCATGTAATTTCTTGTGTTACTTTTAATATTTTAATGGTTGCAGGTGCCAAAGTCATCCTTGCTTGCAGAAATATGGCAAAAGCAGAAATAGCAGCCCACGAAATCCGGATCAAGACAGGAAACCAAGAGGTTATAGCAAAAAGATTAGACTTGGCAGACACCAAATCTATCAGAGAATTTGCCAGTAATTTTTTGAAAGGTATGTCTTAGGAACATTGTTTTCTCAGAGGTTGGGCAAAATGATACCTGATTATTTGTCTTAAAAATCCAGTAGGCATGATGAAATTCAGACATGCTTTTTATTTAATGTATGTATGTATGTATGTATGTATGTATGTATGTATGTATGGGCAGCATATATATACACTGCCATCTCGCTATCCAGAGCAACTCTGGGTGGCTTACAAATCAGTAAAAACAGAAATATAAAAGCAACTCTAAATACATAAACAGTTTTTAAAAAAACATTAAAATGTTTACATTTTCTAAAATTCTAAATTTAGACCTCTGTGGCATAACAATACTTTAACTAGTAGGATTGCTAAAGTAACCCTAAAGGAGGTACTGTACTGAGTGAAACAGAAGAGGAGCTGCTTGCTGCTTCCTGTCCTGCTTTCTGGAGTGATTTTAGAGAGTCTGATAGGCCCAAATTTTACCTTGTCAGATTGTTCATGGGAAAATCTGAAAGAAATTGAAGTGTGACTATGTTTCCATGACTCCAGTTCCAGTATTTTTATTTTGGGCTTCTTTATTCATATGACCTTCATGGCTTTTGTTTTTCTTGCAGAGGAGAAAGAACTCCACATACTCATCAACAACGCAGGGGTTATGATGTGCCCCTATTCAAAGACAGCTGATGGTTTTGAGACACATTTTGGAGTCAACCATCTTGGTAAGCTTGCTTAACTTGATCTCCTTGATCAGTTTTTCTGTTAGAAAGTTCTATTTAAGTCTTTTTTTTCCCAATTTTGTCTTAAAGTGCTACGAGAAGTTAGAGTTTGGGCCCATGTAAAGATTGGAAAGATTTGTGTGCTTTCGCATATGGAGGCATGCAGGGAGGATAAAAAAGAAAACAAGTGTTGCAATGCTCGGTCTTCCTCTTTTATATATAAATTGCAATGTTGCACCCCCATATGTAAAGGACTGAGCTTACATTGCAATATTTGTTTTATCTTTATGAAGTGGTTGAATTCTGCAGACAGAGGTCTTTCAGAAGATTGTACTTGTTATACAGAGGAGCATTACACTGAGGTAACAAATTTTCCTTAAGGCTCTGTGAGCCCTGATTGACATAAGATTTATTGCTGCTCATTTGTTTTAATTAATGGTAACATGGGAAAGGTGAGATAAAACAACATTATCATAATTATTCTCACAGGGATGACTGTTTTTCTTGATCACACTGTGAATTTTTTTTAATGCTTCAGATTCTTCATCAAGTTAAGGAGCTATTTGAACATGCATAGTCCTTAGTTGATTTCAATAATCAGAAAGTTATTATGCTTGTAATTTTTTGGGGTGGTGGTAGTGGAAATGGAAACAACTTTGAGAACACAGTTGCACCAGATAGCTTTACTTTCTAAAAATCCAAAGATCAGTAATACATTCTTGTTGTGACTCCGGAGTTGGAATCTGTTCCGTTGGCAGATGTGAGCTCAAGCGAAGAGGAAATGGCAGTAAATTATGAGCCGGCTCTGTTGAGCGATTTGGATTGTAGTCAGGATGAAGAAATGGATGTAACTAGGAGGGACGAACCTGATTTAATAGAGCTGTCAGGACCTTCGACCTCCTCTGATTCTTCTCCTCTGGCTGAGCAACAGCTGGGAATAGCTAACCAGGAACACTTGCGAGACTTTTCTAGTGGGGAGGAGTCTTTGGAAAGAACTTGGCTAGATGTGCCTAATAGACGTAACTTTAGGCGTCAATCACAATTAGGAAGGAGGCCTCGAGCCAGTGACTAATTAAGGAGATTAACACGCCCTCATAGTGGATATAAGGAAACGGCTTGGCTGGCGAGCTTTGCCAGAAGCAAAGTGATTTATGGGAGTGAACACACGGAGAGAACTCTTTGAGGCTTTGGGATTTATAACCGTCAGGTTTGCTGGACAGAGTTTGGATTTATTGCCGAGGACTGGAAACCCTTCCACAGTCCTTTTGGGAAGGTCTGCTTTTTGGTTTGTGAACTGCCTGTTTCGTTTTGCCTTCCTGCAATTAAGGGGGAATCATAACACATTCTCATCCAATTTGGAAAGCCAAGTTGCTCTTGATACCTGGTGACTTCGTGGGATTTCATGGGCATAAGTGCACCAATGTGCCTACTGTCCCTGTCCTATTGTTTCTTTTTATTTTTCTTATATGTATCCATTTCATGTATTCATAACTATGTTTATACTTACACCTGTTACCTTATAATCGCTTGACAAAATAAATAAAAATATATTTTTTGGCAGCAATATGCAAATGATTTGCCATTGCCTTTTCCTGATTTTTTTAAAATGTCCTAGTATATCCTATATTCCTGGTATTATCTATGTGTTATATATTTGAACTCAACCAAAATGTAGAACACAAAATTAGCAAGAGCAGTTCTACATATTTTAAACAGTGCTATGAAAGAAAATCACTTATTTCAGATTTTTTGAATTCTTGCTTTTTTTAATGTTGAATGTTGTTGGAGTTTCACATGCTTCTTAATTGATATGAGAAAGTGAGCAAAAAAGTATTTCTGGCTTTTCTTATTCGATTCATTTATTTCATAAACAGAATGATCCAATGTGCAGTTTGCTAGTCTGAAAAAGTGATCAACCTTAAATCTCAGTTCATTTGTAGGAAGGCTCTGTTGATTGGGGCTGAGTCCTGCCTTTTATAAAACTCACAAACTTTGGCTTTCCTCATCAGTCCATGAGATGGTTATGTTAATCATGATTTGATTGGTTTTTATTTACCTTGGCTTCCAATTATCCATTTTATTTTCATTATTGGTTGTGTTTTAAACTATTATTTCCCACTCAGAGTCACCATTGTGAGATCAGCAACCATATAAATTGAATTAAATAAATCACAGGAAAGTTCTCACCATAGAGATTCTTAAAGGCATAATGTATCCTGCTCAAAAGGTCTCTGTTTAAAAAAAAACATGATGTCTATCTGCCTGGCAAAGCTTACAAATTCATTTCTAAATGTGGAGGGTTCCGTTAGTCTAGCAGGACTCTTGAAATGGAGAAGATTTGGGGAAACCATGAATATTTGGAACAATAAAAACCCTTTGCATGGAGGACATTGTCATGTCAAAGTTATTTCAAGAGCACAGTATAGTCATCCAAGAAGTCACAAAAAATGCTAGAAGGCATCACTTGCTTTGGCTGAAGTCAGTGCTCATAATTCCTTCATCAGAAAGGCTTTGAGCAGAAATGGGATTCCTGACAGAGTAGACAGGTAAAAGTCATGGGTCACTGGGAAGAACATCAATGGTTATCTCAAAAATCACCTGAATAACCTTCCAGAAATCTGAACATTTGTTCTATACGTCAAGAGTGGAACACGTGACATGTAGAATATCTGGTATACCAGAACAAATGCTGAATCCACAATAAAGACTTCATACCAACTGTCAAGCATGGGGGAGGGTGGATAGATGCTTTCCTATCCCAGATTTGGGTGACTTGTCACTATTGGAGAAAGCTATGAGGATATCAGACCATTTGTCCATCAGCTGAAGCGTAGGCAGGTTACACAGCAATTGCAAAGCAGTAATTGCAAATATAGGCACAGGTTTAAAAGGGTATGAAAGAAGAACACATTCACTTCTTTGGAATGGCCAACTCAAAGTCGAGATCTAAATTGTACAGAAATGTTATGTTAGGATCCAAAATGTCAAGTTAATGCTCGAAAATCTTTAAATGTGAGTTCAACAGCCAGTTACTGAATCTACATTTTCATATCTATCAGGATGATGATTTTAGAACCTACATGAACTACTGAGTTGAAAGATATACAAATATTCAGAATATCTGAAAGGGAATGAATTTTTTTTTTTAAAAAAATGGATTAAGTCCTTAAGGACAACTACTTAGTTTATAAATTATCAGTCATGTCTTGAAAATTGACCCCCCCCACACACACATTTTTGCTTTATTTTTGTCAAATTTTACAAACATATGATAGCTTATATATCGTTGAACACTAACAAGAAGTGAGAGAAACAGTGTTACGAATCACTGATTTTTTTAAAATTATGCAATGTTGTAATTTTCTTTTAAATTTCATTTTTTTCCCTTAAGCAGCAGTGTTTTTCTAATACACTTGCAGATATTTAGTAGTGTGATATGTTGGGATAGGTATAAGTTAAATCCTTGTAACCCGCATGTTTAATAAAAACGAATGTGAACAGGTCTAACAAAGCAATCGCAAAATCAAATTATTGTTCATAATCTTTCCTGTTAGGCCACTTTCTCTTAACGTTCCTGCTAATAGAACGCCTGAAACAAAGTGCACCAGCTCGTATTGTAAATGTGTCTTCGCTGGCTCATCATATGGGGAGGATTCACTTCCAGAATCTCCAGGGTGAAAAGTTCTACTTTCGGGGCTTGGCATACTGTCATAGCAAGCTGGCCAATATTCTTTTTTCTCGGGAATTGGCTAGACGTCTTCAAGGTGAGCTGAAAGTTTGCAGTGTTTTTAGTCAGCAATATTATTTAGATGCAAAAACTACTGGAAAAATTGGAGTACTGGGATGGGAGAAGTTCTAATATCTTTGAAGTAAGACCTCTTTAAAAAAAATTCTAGTTGTTGCTACCCAATATTTAAAATAGAATGTCAAAATTGGCCCGGATTAAGCTTGGCAGAAATGTTATCTCAAAAAGCAAAGACCGAGAGTGCTGGAACAACTTGCAAAAGCCGTGGTGAAGGGGTGGAATTCAACCGGCCTGCGTGTAAAACAACCTTGGGCTGTGCTCCCTGGACAGCTAATAAGCATTGTGTGCAAGTGCGCAGCGTTTGAAAAGCCTATTTTTCCCTGCTTTTTCAACTTCAGCTGTGCTTCACAAAGCATCTGAGGTTGAAAAAGCAGGAACTAAAGGACAGGTAAGAGCCCGAGCGGGCAGGTGGGCCAAACAGCAGCAAACACAGAACCAGTTTGGTATCTGCTGCTCTTCAGAGCTACCGGCTGTATGGAACTAGACAGAACTGGTAGCATCCCGCCCCTGCCCTGGTGTTTCTGTTCTATGCATACATACAGGTAGTCCCTGAGTAACAATCATTCATTTAGTGACAGTTCAAAGTTACAACAGCACCTAAAAAGTGATTTATGACTGGTTTTCATACTTAAGAAATGTTGCAGCATCCCCATGGTCACGTGTTTAGAATTCGGGCATTTGACAACTGACATGCAGTTGCAGTGTCCCAGGGTCACGTGATCACCATTTGTAACCTTCCCAGCTGGCTTCCAACAAGCAAAGCAAATGGAGGAAGCCGGGTTCACTTAACAACTGCACACTTCAGCCCACAACTGCCATGATTCACTTAACAATTGGCAAAAAGGTCATAAAATGGGGCACAATAACTGTCTTGCTTAGCAGTAGAAATGTTGACTTCCACTGTGGTCATAGGTCAAGCACTACCTGTACTGATTGCTGTGCGACTTTTTTTCTAAGTAATAAGAAATAAACTAATTAGAGAGATATTTAGGCTTTTACCATAGTTATGATTGTTTGCACCCAAAGGAAGCCATGGTCACCTTTAGTCCAACTGCCATTGAATGGACTATAAATACGACTTATTTGATCTTAGTTTTATCATGCATGCATTTTATGTGGACATATGGGACATAAACTCTTTAATTTGTGGAGGCCTTGGTGTTTTCTGAACTTGATTATATGCTTGCAATCATTTCAGTACCCACCAAAGTAACATCTCCAGTGTGAGTGAATGTGGGGTTGTTCCCTGTTCATATATAGTAGTTAGCTCTTCCAGTTTGGGGTAGAAATGTGATTTTTCTCCTTGGTAAATCTTTAATTATTGCATTATTTTCTGCTTCATTGTTTGCTTGGTATTAATCTCTGCTTATCTGGGTATTGGATGCTGGAGAGGAGTATTCTGTTCTAGCCAAATACACTAAGATCGAAATACCCAGAATTAAAGACTTTATCAACCTCTGCCTCATTATCTACTTTCAATTTAATGGACAAATAAACAAACAAAATCAAAGGGGACTCACCACTCTCAGGACCCATAACAGAGGCCATAATATTATAGCATGTATAAATTATACTAGTCCCATACATACAATTAAAAGTATGGCACCAAGGACTCAACAGTTTAACCTTGACCTACATATATTCTCTTCCATTGACACTTTTAAGTTTACACTGGCATCATCTTTCCGTTTTGTAATTCAAACAAAGTTCTCTTTGCTTTTGTACAGGCTGATCCCATTATCAGTATATTTTTGAATACATGCCTGGTTTGTCTCCTGCAGGTACTGGCGTCACTGTGAATGCCCTGCATCCAGGTTCAGTTTTGTCTGAACTTACTCGCCACTCCTTTAGTCTAAAAGTTTTTGCGAACATATTTGCTATCTTCTTGAAGACACCTTGGCAAGGAGCTCAGACCAGCATATATTGTGCAGTGACGGAGGAGCTGGAGACAGTCAGTGGAAAATATTTCAGGTGGGTTGATCTGGGATGACTGGCATTGGGATGTGGGGAGAGAGAACAAAGCTTTGAGTCCAAACTTAGGGGAAAACCTTTTTTTTTGGTTTTGCTATAACCACCTCGTCACCGTATAAGCCTTGGAATGGGGAAAGAAGCTTTGGATAGCCACCTCAAAATAAACCAGGATACAAGCAGGAGTTATTTTTGCTATTGGTATTATTTTGAAGCATCAGTGAGGCTCTCCCATAGGCTAAGTGCAAACATGGGACTTAGCAAATCCTTAGTAATGAGTTTCTGATGGGTTAAGAGTTCTTGTACCTCTAATAAATAGAAGTCATTCAGAAAGAATGAATCTCGTCTGCTGATTCTCACCTAACAGCACCAGTTGATACTACTAGTCTCTTTCAAGCAGTTTTCAGCCACTGTGCCATAAAGGTATGCATGTGAGCCAAGCTACATGACAGGAAAAGTGCTACACAGATGCACAGCAGAATCCCACCCCTATGACATTGCCAGGAGACACATTGCCTCAGTTTCTTTTCCTGAGTCCCAGCAACTTGTATTGTCAGGGATTTCCAGTTTTGCAGCCTGAAAGTCCTGCCTTTGAGACGTGTGCCATGAGATGAAGAGAGTTAAAAGCTACTGCTTTAAAGCAGAGGTCTCATTCTCGCGGCCCGCAGGCCAATTGCGGCCCGCAGGACGATATCCTGTGGCCCCCACTGTGATATGAAAGTATAATATTAGTGTATAATATAAATATAAAGTATAATATAAAGTATAATATTATGCGGCCCAGCCTCACCCAGACTCTGCCTCCAGCGGCCCCCAGGTAAATTGTGTTTGAGACCCCTGCTTTAAAGGATTAGAAATCTGAATCCAGTCCTACTGCATAAAGATTCATGGTGACATTAGCCTTAATGACTCCCTTAGCTAGTGCTAAGGATAAAGATCCATAGTTATTTATGTGATGCGCTCATAGCAGCCACACCAGTTGAGTATGTGTTTCTTTGAGCTATGTATTCTGAATGAGTGAAGAATCTTAGTAGTATGTTAAGTAGCTTCTAAAATCTGCCAGGATAGTTGTGTAAAAGTAGTCTAAATTGTTTTTTTTAATGCATTAAAACTTACCAATGACAGCTTTGTACAAGGAATGTGCAAAAGATTCTAGGCGTACATTTTGGGTTTCCACAGAACAGTTATTTTACAGGTGGTCCATTCCTGAAACATGTATTTAAGTTCATAACATGAGCAAACAGCGTTGCTCTGGATACAGAATGAAATATGGTTGTTCTGGGTAAGTAGAAGAGTAGGTGAAAGCCAAGGCAGTGGGAGTGGTTAAGAGGACACAGGGAAAGGAGTAAAAATGAGGGGAACTGTAGAAGAATGCTGTGGGGAGAGGGCCTTGTTGGTATGGTGTGTAGGGAGAGGGGGCACAGTCTTAACTCCTGGCAATTGCCTGGAGAAGTCCTGCATTTTTCTTGGCAAGATTTTCAGAAGTAGTTTGCCATTGCCTTCTTCCTAGGGCTGAAGAGAATGAAAGTCACTCAGCTGGCTTTGGGCCTAAAGCAGAACTAGAATTCACGGCCTGCCAGGCTCCAACCTGGTACTTTTAACCACTACACCAAATTGGCTTTCAAGTCTTGCTGAATTTGCCTTATAAAATTCAATATTGGTAGTCCTCAACTAATAACTAAGTCTTGTTGAATTTGCCTTATAAAATTCAATATATGTAGTCCTCCAGTAATAACCATTTGTTTAGTGCAGTGGTTGTGAACCAGTGGGTCGTGGCCCACTGGTGGGCCGTGAGAAAATGTTGGTGGGCCACAGAAATCTCACCCCCAGAACACCCCCTCAAAGCAATTAATCCAGGCTGCGTAGAAACACAAGGCTGTGCCGCCCACATGGCCCGCGCGAACCCTCTCTGCCCACTCACTCCTTACCTGGCAAACTTGCCTACTAAATTGCTATTTTTCCTTTTTCCGACCATCAGGTGTTCTGTTGTGCCGGGAGATTAATTAGCTAGGAAGCAGGAAATGGTTGGATTTCTTGCTTCCCAGCTAGTCTTTCGATCTTCGGCTCTGCTTTTAAGCACAGCCCAACTTCCCTTATGACTGAAGGTTCTATTATTCAGTGCAGATTCACGGCAAGCAAATTTTATGTGACAGACTGAGCTAGCCGATGGCAGATAGATAAATCACTGAATGATTCTGTGAGCAACTCATTCTGCCTGCCTGCTTTGCCTGATTTTGGGTAAAAGTTTCTTTTTTATAAAAAATTCAATATTTATATAAATATTTATAATATTTACATACAAGCCATGCCCAGCCAGTCACATGACCACCAAGCCACACCCACAAATTAGGCCACGCCCACAGAACCAGTTAGTGGTCCCTGGGATTTAAAATTATGAGTTTGGTGGTCCCTGAAGTCCAAAAGGTTGGCGATCCCTGGTTTAGTGACCATTTAAAGTTATAAGGGCACTGAAAAAAAGTGACTTCCTGCTGTTTTTCAGACTTACAACCATTGCAGCCCCCCATGGCCACGGGATCCAAATTCAGATGCTTGGCAACTGGCTTGTTAGTAGTATCCTGGTGTCATGTGATCGCAGTTTGAGACCTGACAAGAAAAGCTAATGGGGAAGCCAGATTCATTTAACAACCATGATATTAAAAGGATGACAGCAATTCACTTACCAAATTTAGTAAGAAAGGTCGTAAAATGGGGCAAAACTCATTTAACTCATTCCTTGCTTAGCAACAGAAATTTTCAGCTCGATTGTACTTGTAAGCTGAGGACTACCTGTGATCCTCTGGGCTTAATTTTGGCTGAACTGCAGCCGCTCCAAAGGGGTTCAGCAGAACTTCTGGAATGCACTAGTTTATAAAAAGATCAGAATGAATCTTTTTCTAGTTGAGCATGCTGCTGATATATTTATATAGCACAAATCCTGTTACAAAAGGGAAAGAATGCTGGTATCTTGTATTAGGAGTCCATTGTTCAGGTATGTTTTAATTGCCTCTATTACAATTAGTGTGCTTTAGTTTGCTTTTTTTTTTGGCTAAGGCTGAACATTTTAATTATAATTATATAACTATTTAATATGATTACATTAAAGTATAATTAATTATAATAATTAATACAATGCAGCATTGCTAATATGCTTTCTTCCTTTACATAACAGTGATTGTAAACCAGCAAATATATCATCTCAAGGACTTAATGATGAAACAGCAAAGAAGCTTTGGAATGTTAGTTGTGAACTCCTTGGTGTCGAGTGGAATTGACCTGCAAAGGCCAGCTATCTACTCCATGCTGAAGGTCTCCTGATTCCTCCTACAAAAAATAATAACTCCTTAGTTTTTCTGGGTTTTCTGGCAGTGTGAATTATGAATTGTTTGATGTGGTTTTGCACAATATGCTGGGCTAAAAGGTTGCTGGCTCATTTGTGATTCAGTATGCCATGAAAACATGCCAGGCTACAAAATTACATCAATTATCTTTTTTTTAAATTTTTAGATGTTTATAGCATGGGTTTATTGTCTTAGTTTCTTTCATTTGTTGAATTATTTTGCAGCTACATATTTAACAAGGAACGATATTAAGTGATTAAACAGTAAATTGTCCAAATTCTTTTATTTCTCAATGAGAGTTTAACACTTTTGTTCATTGGAAGTTTAGAATTCCTCCGTTACAGTTTAGTACAGGATAGTTCACAGGACAGTTTTGCTGGTGAGAAGGGGATTCTTTAAAAATCCTAAAGAATCCAAGTAACAATATAAAGTGCATAAAATGCAGTGCAAAGAGTGGACCCAACATTCGTCTCGATTGTCTCTTCCACACAAGTCTTTCCTTTCTTCCCTTTGGAAGGTATTGATGAGAAGAGTTTGGAGATGAAAGGACAAGGCATGTTGCGTACTAAACTCAATAGGCAGCACAGCTTAGCACACAGCAAATAATGAATCCTGTTCTTTTCTTAAGGTAGAAGAAGTAATCAGAGTCACACAAAGCCCAATCAGACTATCTCCTGGGACTCATGGCAGTTGAGCTTGATAAGACAGCAAAAGCACATTTTATAACTCTTAGATTCCTAATAGGATAACTTCCAAGACCCCAAAGGTATGAAAAGATGGAAGCTAGATATAGCCCTCCCAAGTTACTTAACCTCAAGGTTATTTCTGGCTGCCAAATCCAGTGAACTAAGGATTACTATTCTTGTGGCTGTGAGCTGTGGCTGTTTCCCTGGAAGAGTGTAGCTTAGATCATTTGCTAAAATTAGTGGGAAAGGGTGATGTTCATCTAATTTTTTTTTTTAAAAAAACTCAGATTAAACCATTCTGAATAATTCCTTAAAACTAATGCCGTTTTGATAACAGTTTGAATTTTTCAAGTTAAAAACTTGTTCTCAATTACAACCATATTCTCTTCTATAGAGCATGCTGTGGTCTCATTGTTTTCTATATCATGTCACTGAAAGGACAATGGGAACTTCAGACTGTTTCAAGGAAAGGTGACAAATATGGGTAGAGGTTCCAAGTAGGAACTACTATTCAACCTTCATCATTTCTTCCTCCATTTTCTGTGTTAACTGGTTATTTTCTGGCCTCAGACAGGAACAGGTGTAGGCTTACAGACCTGTTAGCTCTTATGCACAGAATTCAATGACAGCTTCTTCCTATGAAAATCAATAGAGCACTGTACCTATCTCAAAATGCGACTTGGTTCTTTATTGATTTGGCTGTAGCTCTGCAGTGTCGGGGATCACAAGCAGATATAAACTCTTGTTGATGTGGGATTTGCATTCATAAAAACAGTGCCTAAAGGAGAGCTATCTCCATGATCATCAAGTAAAACGCAGCTGAAGCAGCAGTGAAAATACGAAGTATGTAAAGAATAAACACCCTGAAGTCGAGGTAGTTGGTTGTCACTGCATCATGACTGGCACTTTGAGGAAGTTGATCCTTTCCCTTTGAATAAAAGGCATTCAATAAAGCTTCTTTCCAGTTTGCAGCCACAGTTGAATCTAGTACAATGTAATATTTTCCCTTTCTAGAAACAATGACCCAACAAATTTCTGGGAATCATTTCTTGGAATTTTGGGTAAGCCAGCTTTTCGGCTTAGTGTGATGTACCGAAAGCCACTGGGTACAGATGGCCTGCACTACATCATCCCCACTGTCCTCTGCCATTTGCCGTATGTGTTGAACCAACTGCACAGCTCTTATGTTTTCTTGTTTTACCGAGATAAGATAGGCAGAACGTAGTTTATGGCATTTCAAGTATGCCTGAATCTGAAACAGAAAGAAAAATAACGTGATTTGAAATTCTATAAGAAGGGTATTTATTGCCCTTGGGTTGCACCGGTTTTCCTTCACTTCCTAATATAGCTTCTGATACAGACTTTAACCTAAACAATGAGTCTGTAGGAGACCAAGAGGTTTGATATAAAGAAGACTGCATCGGGAAGTGAATATCAGTAAGCCCTGTTGCACACAGACTTTCTTATTGGGATTACTGCCAAAAGATGCTTGTTTTCTGCACGGCAGCAGAGACTATATAAGTCTGAAACAATGCATGCATGTAGAATGATGATAAGAGTTGCTTTGTGTGACAGGCACTGGAATGTATTACAAAAGATTTGCAGGCTAGGCTTGTTAAAATAACTCAATGCTAAACAAATAAGTTCTGCCTAGAACATTTAAAAAAAATGTTTCTTATATAATCATGTTTCCCAACAAAAGAACAAAAATTAAACAATTTAAAAGTAATACCTATTCCATAGTTTCTTCTATAACAAGCAAATGTAGTAAGTTTTTCTGAGAATAATAGTCCATTACAATGGGAATTTACTGAATTAGAAAACACAATGGGTTTATTCTCCAAGAGAAGAGAGAATCATTGTGTGGAACAACAAATGGCCCAGAGTGCACAAAACGTTCGTCTATCATAAATGATACATATAAGGTTATTTATGCCCCAAATTCTAGATGGGCTTCCTGGGTTTAACTTTGTCAGATTCTTGTCACTGTTGGTAAAGGTGGGGGAAATGGCATGTTCAAAAACTGCTTGAACAACTCAGAATGCGATATGGATCTTCTGGATTTTCCTATTGTACAATTTCAGATTATATCAGACTGAATAACGAAAGTCTTCATGTGACTGCTGCTGTGACCTGCTGGCAGCTGACGGAGCTGGCAGCAGAGTTGGACAGGAGTGAGGAGGTTGGGGAGAAATCTGGGCCGGGTCTGGAGGCTAAGGAAGATCCGGAGGAGGGCGCTGTATCAGGGGCCATGACAGGCTGGCAGTCAGTAGCTGCCTTCGGGTTTGGACAGCAGTGATGCGGGGGAGCTTATGGAACCGGTTCCCAGCCTGCACATGCACAGAGCTAGCAGAAGACAAGAACAATTGAGAAAGCAGGGCCAACTCAGGAGTAAAGCCACACCTCAGAGATGATTGGCCTTTCCCATAGGACATAAAAGAAGAGTGAATGGGACGTGATTAGTTTGTTTGGTCGGTTCAAGCTTTGAAAACTGCTGTTTGATTCTGTGTCAAGTTTGGTCTTGCCCTATGTCTGGCAATTAGTTCTCTGGCCGCATTCCAAGTATGATAAGGTGGGTGTTTATAAACATACCCCTGACAGACTGTGTGTGAAGCCTGGCTGGCTGTGAATGAACATAATTCACAGCTGTGGAAATAAAAGAGGTTTTGTCAGGATTAAGATTGTGTTTTATGCTTTCTAAGGAAGCCTAGGTCAGAAAAACTGCACACTTTGATTTATCAATATCCATGCTCGCTGTCATTAAATTGTAAGGCAGTATGTTACCTTACAAGTATGCTATCACTTAATGAATCAAGATCTGAAATTCAGATAGGGCAGAGATACATATTTGCTTCCCTTTATATGTTCTGGAAATGCATGGGAACAGCACATTTCAAAGTAGCTTTCTATTAATGTTTAAGCAGAATGCATCACTATGAACATCATGTTCAATGTTACTACAGAATTATCAGTAACCACATTCACACACTTGTTGAATATGATAGTCTTAGAATAATAGGAGTAGATAAAAGATTGTATCTACAAGAACGAATGAGCAAATACACCATATACATAAATAAGAATTTCCAAAAATTACTTCATATCCAGGAAAAAGCATTCTTTTGTTTTACTCACCTTGTTTTCATCACTGTCCATATCCTGGATCAAATTATCCAACTCCTAGATCCCAGCAAGAAAATAAAAATGGTAGAAAGATCATGAGATGAACTGTTAAACATTGCTTACGCTGATATGGCTGCTTATACTTGCCCCTGCAGATTGCTTTCAATTCACCAGAGAATCAAGGAAGCAATTATAAATGAAGTCCTGCCCACTGAAAAAAGATACAGTAAGCAGCTATTTCATTAGAAGCTTTTAATGGGAGGGCGGAGCTGGCGTCACGACGATACGGCATGCGATCTTGGAGGTCTGAGATCGCTGCCAATATCTTTGTTCCTGGACGGTCCTATCGGATCTAAACCGTCCCGAAGAGACAGTGAAAGTGAAGAGCGCATCCTGTCGATCCCAGGGATACCGCAAAGTCCCTGGTAGATCCAGGAGAAGCTCTTCTTGCCAGCGGCAAAGAGGCAGCCATTAAAGCTACTGAAGTTGGGACAGCTCTGAAATGGAAGAGAACAGAAAGAGAGAGTGTGCCGGTTTGGTGAGAACTTTTTCTCTATTCTAAGATCTGAAAGGACACCCTAAGGAAAAGAAAGAATTTGTAAAAGTTTTGACAGAAGTGATTAAGTGGCGATTTTAAACAGGAATGTCAAAGTAATGTTTTTTTCTCATTGCTGGATTTTCTATACACGATCTTATATTTTGAAACTGGACTGGTTTTCTCTTTTACATCTATTTTTTTTTCTCCTTTTTGATTTTGTAATATTTTAGGCTAGAGGCTCCCTTTTAGTTATTTCTTTTTTAAAAAATATCTTTTTCTTTTTTTTATTAATTCTTATTATATCTTGCTTGGAAAAGGAGGGGGAAAATGAGAGCAAAGAAACTGCCAACTAGAGGCTTGAAAATATTCTATTTCCCTGTGACCAGACAAAGCTGAGAAAGAAAGAACTGAGACTCTTTTTCAAGGACATTGCTATTTGATAAGATAGAGGGAGGAGCATGGGAGAGTATTATTGCAGGTGCTCTTCTGGGTTTCTATCAACAGCTGGAGTCTGGTGTTGAAACCTAGGGGGAAAAAAGGTGATAAGTTTTTGGAGAAGAGAGCTATAATAAGAGCCTTGGATAATTAAACAAAGTGCAGTGTG